CTGTATCAAGACAGCATGTTGTTCTACAATAATTTTATTAACTATACCAAGACAGCATGTTGTTCTACAATAATTTTATTAACTATACCAAGACAGTAGTCAGTACTAGAGTAATTACATTTACTTTACCAATGTAGCATGCAGTTCTACACTAATTATATTGACTATACCAAGACTGTGTGCAGGGCTGCAGTAATTACATTAATTATACCAAGACAGCATGCAATTCAATACTAATTGTACTTGTACTACTCTCTCTCTTACCAGGAAGTCATATATATGGTGCCATACTACACTCACTATACCAAGAAGACATAGCTCTACACTTCCTATACTAAAAAGAAATGTTGCCTCACTACGTTGATTGTATCAAGAAGACATCGTATTAGATTACATTCACTACACCAAGAAGTCATGGTGCCACACATTCTATACCAAGCAGAATTAGTACTGCATTACATTCACTGTACGAATAAAACATAGTGTCTCACTGCATTTATTATACCAAGAAGCAAGAAGACGGTGCTACAATTCCTATACAAAGAAGGCATGCTTTGCATTGCTTACCTTACTAGGGGAACTGTTCTAATTTGGAAAGAGTCAAAAACTTTGGGAATAAGTTAATCAGAAAAAAATGTGTTCTGCAAGCTCATTTTTTTTTTTTTATTGGGTAATGAAAATTTCCTTCCCTACCATACTCCCTTTTGTTCTGAAGTCAACATTTTGTTTCTCAGATTCCATTTTCCTTTGCTGTGGAGTTGTGGGGTGATGGAGATATTCAAGGAAAACAATGTTTTGATTTATTTAATCCTCCCAATAAAGAACTTCTGGTAAGTGAACTAAATGGAAAACCTTAAGAATGTTTGTTGAAAAGCAGTAAACTTGAATGATTGAGAACACATTTAAAACAATCTTTATGTTACTAATGAAAAAAGGTTTGAATGGGAATTGACAATAATTTATAAACCTTCTGTACACTAGTTGAAAGGAAAGAAACTTGAATGAGAATTAAGAATAAATTAAAACCTTCAGTAGTTGAAAAGTAACAAACTTGGATGAGAAATTATAATGAAATTAAAACCTTGAATATGCTACTTGAAAAGTAACAAAGTTGAATGAAATTTCAGAAAAAAATGAAAAACCTTCAGTAAGCTAATTAAAAAGTAACAAAGTCAATTGAGAATTCAGTTTATAAGCTTTCAGTATGCTACTTGTAAAGAAACAAATTTAAATTAAAATCCAGGATAAAACTTTCCTAGGCTAGTTGTAAAGTAACAAACTTGAATGAGAACTCAGAATAATCTAAAAATCTTCATTAGGGTAGTTGAAAAGTAAGAAATTAAAATGATCATCAGTAAAGTACAAAATATTTATAACTTTAGAAGTCAGTAGTGCCATACTGGCTGATAAAACATGTTTTTAAGTTTTTAAAGATGATGGAAGAAACTGTAACTTATACAAGCTACTAAGAAATACTTATTTCAAATTTTTTAAGAATTACATCAAGCCTTAAAATAATTATTTGTAACTTAGAGTTTATGAAGTTTATGTTTGCCACAATTTTAGGAAGTTTTTTTTATTTTTCAAATCACTTAGAAAGTTTTTATTTTGCATGGTGTTTGCAAAGTTTTGTCTTTGCTACATTAATAAGAAGTTTCTTTTACTTGTCACAGCATTTTCTTACTTCCTACAACATTAGGAAATTATTACTTTCCAAAGCATGTAGGGAGTGTTATCTTAGTAATAGTGAAGTTTTTTATTTGACACCTTGTTTAGGAAGTTTTTTATTTGCTTCAGTATTCAGGAAGTTCTTTTTATTTTTACCAGTATTTAGGGAATTATTTGCCATCATGTTTATGTAATTTTTATAGGGCACGATATTTAGAAAGTTTTTTGATTTGGCATTGCAGTTACAAAGTTTAATTTATTTGCCACAGTATTGAGAAAGTTTTCTTTTATTTGCTACAGTCTATTTGAAGTTTTATTTGCTATAATGTTTAGGAAACGTTTTTATTTGCCAAACTGTTTAGGAATATTTTTAATTTACCCATAATATTTTATTTATTTTATTTCCTTCATTATTCAGAAAGTATATTTTGTGTCATGGTGTTTAGAAATTTTTCCCCCATATTTTTTTAGGAATTTTCTTGTATTTGTATCAGTATTTAGGAAATTTTTTTTGCCACAGATTGTAAGAAGTTTTGTTCATTTTTTTCAAATAACAAGTTATTATAATACTTCTGTGTATTACTGTTGTTATTTTTCCATTAGTTATAACTAATAATGTACAATGTATTTTTAATATGTATCAGAGTAATTATTGAAGCTCAGTAGCAATTACATGCTATTATTCGTCAGTAACTCTTGTCCGAGACTATATATGCTGTATGAATGAATAAATAAGGTTCAGGGAAAAGAAAATAATAATGAAAATACACAAGCAATACCTATACAGGAGTCACAAACAACAAGTAATGGTTATGAGATGGAGACTTTATTAATTACCTATACATGAGTCAAAAACAACAAGTAATGGTTATGAGATGGAGACTTTATTAATTACCTATACATGAGTCAAAAACAACAAGTAATGGTTATGAGATGGAGTCTTTATTAATTACACAAACGGTTATCAACAAAAAAATAAGAAAGTAAGCTGTGCAGTGCAACAGTATTTTGTATGTGAACCATTGTTCTACACAGAGTGTTAAACCTTGTTTTTATACTGTTATATAGTTTATCAATGTAAGATTGTGGAATTGTTTGAAATGTCCTTTATTACTCCCCACAATTCATGCCAAGTTGTTTGGTTGCCTTTTGACTTTCTGGGTATTCATAAGCCCATAGTGCTTCAAGAATGTTCACATCAGGACTTGAGACAGACAAAACCATGGTTATGAGTTTTCTGTTGGTTTCTTTGTTATCAAGATATCATACTTAACATGTGTGTTTGTGATCATTGTGTTGCTGAAGATTGGTCACCATCCAATGAGTTGTGTTCCTAAAGGATTGGCATGATGGATCAAAATCTGCCTGTACCTGTTAGCAGTGAGGATGCCATCAGGTTTGTTTATTTCATCATTACCATTAACTGAGATGCAACCTCAGTAGTTCTACTGCACCCATCCCTGCTTTAATTTAGGTGTTGTACATAGTCAGATACTGTTTACCTTATCACTGTTGTTGATTGTAGTCACAAGATTCAAATTTAGATTCATTTGTAAAGAGCACATGTCTTCAGTTTTTCTCATTTCATTTTTGGTGGTTTCATATCCATTTCAACATTTCAACTTTAATGTTTTGTTACCTTTTCTCAGAATCTGTTTTTAAGTATCTAAACATCCATTGAGTTAACTTTATTCTAATGTGTGTATCTTATTGTTTTGGGGTAACATTCTCAGTTATATTTATAAGTTTGTCGACTGAGATAATTAACATCACTTTTGGAGAGTTTTGGCTTTTTGCCTTCAGTTGTTTCCATAGAATATCTTAACCTGTTGAAACTGATTTCTACACAATTTTTATGTCGTTTTACAGTCCTGGGAGCCATGACTGGAAAAACTACTACTGCTGGGCATAGTATGACTGCCAGTACTTTTATAAGCTTGATACTTGTGTACCACTTTCTGATTGCTTGGATAACAACTAGTGACATTGTAAGCTATCAACACATGAACTGTAGTATAGTTCATTTTATTGATAAATGGACATCATTCCTGTTATTTCTGCCTTTTATACTCTTTTTCTTTTTTCCTCACCAGTTCCATAATTATTTCCAATACTATCTGTTTTTAAGATTGCCACCACTATTCACATGACCCCCATAATTCTGTTTACACAAAAACTACTATTACTATAATAAAACACGAATTTGCTACTTATTGTACATAAACCTGTTCATTACACTTAAAAATATCTGTAAGAAAACATCGAGTTGCCCTGAAACTTTGAGGTCATCTATAATAAAGAAAAACTTATTATATCAAAAATGTTATGAGAGTACACAAGGAAAACAACAGCACACATACAGATTATGCAGAAATGTACAGTTTATATTTAGATATTTGTTACAGTAGATGGATTACTTAAGAATGTGTATATAAATGGATACGACAAAAGCTCCTGATAGACAATTAATATTCCAAAACATACATACCTCCACTGACACTTATAGCTATTGCTCGACCTCCAGGGTTTCTTTTGTGCCCATCTAAGTATTGGTTTGATTTTTTCTCGCTTGTTCCAGTCTTTTATACCCCACTCAGTTGCCCTTGGTGATATTTGTCTCGTGATACTCTCCACCTACTTCAATGCAACCTCTATCCTGATACTGTATGTAAGCACCTCATTCAGATAATTTTATCACTCTTTTTCTTGACAAAGTGTATAGACACAGGTTTCTCTAAAGAAGTGCTGCAATAGTTAACTACCTTGTTTGCCATTTCATTTGGCCTAGTGGATTTCTATAAGTAGAAAACAATCCTTTTCTTTATATGACATGCCATTTAATGGCATGATTTCCTGGGCTACTGTTTCCAGCATGGAAGCTCATCAGACCTCCCCTATTCCACCTGTTTGATTCATTGGGAGATGGAGACATATAGTTGTTCTGGGGGGTCTCTTTCCTGGGGGTTCTGAGGCTGCTTTTGTCGATGATTGGGGATATTATGGGGAGAATTTTTACTCTCTTTTCTGGCACCTTTGTTTACTAGGTTGGCCTCTCACGAAGGCCAATTTGTGTCAGTCACCTCCTGCTCCCTTTTTTCAGTAAATCAGTTGGGTTTGTAAGGTTTTAAGGCTTTCCCCAGTTGCCTCTGAGTGTACTCCTTCCTTGGTGGGGGAAAGGTCTGAAAGTAACTATTTAGTTTTTCCCGTTTCACCTGATATTGCTGTTCATGCTGCGAGGTTTACCCCTCAGTTATGTGATGGGATAGTTATGCCTTGTCCCACACATTTGTCAGAACAGCATGCTTTGGCTTACCACCACCAGGAGGATATATATTTAGCTTCCAAAAGACTTGATCCTCTTTTGGACATGTGGGGTTCCAGACTGGAGCCTGTAATCACTTTGAACAGATTAAAATTTTCTCGAATTCTTTTGACCCTTACTACTGTTCTGAGATATCTATCTTCCCTCCAAATTTTGTCAGAAGCCTCTCAGCATTCCACACATCAATTTGATGATAAATTGGGTCCTTTGCTGACTTCTACCTTGGTAAGATTGTCAACTTCTGCACTTGCTTGGCTTATATGTTGTTGGGACTTATTGGGTAGAGATGCTTTGTTGGAGGGAGATCGTGTACTTGCTGCTTTCCTCTGTGAGTTATGTGAGGCTCCTTTTCTTCATCCCTTGATGTTTGTAGGCATTCCATTGGTGTTGGAATCACAGATTGATGTTGCCTATTTGCATTCTTCCTTGTTGTCACTTTCTTCTCGACTTTCTCTAGCTCCTGCTGGAAGTCATGGCATGATTGTACATCCTATGTCCCGACCCCGACTTCAGCTCCTTGATCTATTGGAACTCGGAATAGATTCTGTCCTTATCTTAAAGGCTCCTAAGCTCAGGCAGACTGTCGCCAACAGCATCAGTGACTACCCTATCCCAGTGGGGTCTGTGTAAGCACAGTTATAACATTTTTTGGACATCTGGAATGCCTTCACCACAGATCCATGGCTAATCCAGGTTCTGGTGTCGGGTTGGTCATTCAGTTCACATCTCCACCTCCATTATCCTTCCAATCTGTGGTATTTTCAACCCCAACAGATGCATGGAGGGTGGATCTTCTTTCCAGGGCTATCAGAGAGTTGTTTGTCAAGTGAACGGTAGAGA